ATGCTCTGTTGGCAGTTATTTTTCATTCAGAATTTTGTCTTTTTCCCTGCATGGCTACTACTGTGCAATCAGAGCTTAATCTTACTGGTTTATTTGTAGGTAACACTTCTTTTTTCCCTAGCTGTGATCAGCATTCTCACCTTGTCTTTGATTTTGAGGAGTTTGATTATGATATGTCTTAGTGTTTTCCTTTTGGCATATATCCTGCCTTGTGTTTGTTCAGGTTATTGAATGTTTATCTTCTCATGCTTGAAAATGTTAGAGAAATTTTCTTCCAGAAGCTGTTTGACTATCTCTTCTGAGGTTTCTCTATCTCTTTCTGTTCTGAAATTTCAATCAGCCTCAGGTGATTCTTCTTCACCTTATCCCACATGAATCTTGGGCTTTCTTCAGATTTTTTCATTCTTTTTTTCTGCTTGTTCCTCTATCTTGTCAGTACTGACATAGTTATGTTCAAGGTAACTGATTCTAGTTTCCATTTTTTCAATTCTATTCCTTTGCCCTTTCACTGTATGCTCCATTTCTGATATTTTAATGTTGATTGTCTGGACTTCTTTTTACTGATTTTCTATCATCTCCAATGCCATATCTCCTTTGTTTGAGTGTTCTGTAGTGCTTTTCTACCTTCTTCCTTATTTTCCTTGACATTTCTATGGCACATTAGGATGCACCTCAATATCATTCTCCTAAATTCCTTTTCATTTTTGACAATTTCTAATTTTCCTAGATTCATACTTCATACATTCCATGTTCCAATTATTAATGGATGTTTACAAGTGTTTCTCTTCATTTTGAGTTGTGCCCCATCAGCAAATGAAGGCACCGAGGGCTTTATTCCCACAAACATTAGTCCATTTGCGTCATCATGGTCAGCTCTACTTTGAGGAGGCAGCTCTTCTGCAGTCACATTTTGAGTGCCTTCCCACCTGAGAGCTCATTTTCTGGCACTATATCTGACAGTCTTTCTCTGCTATTCATAAGGTTTTCAGTGACTAAATAGTCATAA